GCAACACCTGGACATCTATCACAAAGCCCAGGGCACCAGATGCAAAAACTGGGCACCAGATGTGTGTATAAGCACCCTTCTAGGAGATACCAACACTCTGGAATGCAGCAAAAACATAACTGTGGTCTCTGGAGGTCTCTGGAGAGGATTACAGTTGGCCCTTAGTTGTCTGTTTAGTGAAAAGTCTGTTTCTCAGGCCTCACCTATGAAGATAGGCTAATAGGCTCTTTCACATAAAACATATATTCTTTAGTCTCCTACCTCTCTTCTGTGCACTGGGTGGTATCTGGTTGAGAACTTTCTCCATTTGTGACAGTCCTGTGGGACCCACAATCATAAGCACAGCTGGTCACCAGAGCCAGGCAGTCTAGAGGTAAACCCTGGCTGGCTGACACAGAAGCCAGGGTGCCATAGAAAAGTATAAGCTCCATTCCTAGAGATACCTTTGACCTAGAGGGAAGCAGAGGAATATCACAAAGATGGCCTCCAGTGGCTTCTGTCCCCAGAGAACACCTAAGTAGGACCCTAGATGTGTGCCAAACCAGAAGTCTGCTCCTCAAGCCAAAACTCCAGGAAAGGCCAACAGGCATTTCGTAGAAATATTGAGATTATAGTTCAGTCTGTAGCTACAGTGTGCCTTTGGTGTGGTTGCTAGCCCTGAACTGTCTCTGCATTTCTTTTTTAAATTTTTTTTTTTTTTTCAACGTTTATTTATTTTTGGGACAGAGAGAGACAGAGCATGAACGGGGGAGGGGCAGAGAGAGAGGGAGACACAGAATCGGAAACAGGCTCCAGGCTCTGAGCCATCAGCCCAGAGCCCGACGCGGGGCTCGATCTCATGGACCGTGAGATCGTGACCTGGCTGAAGTCGGACGCTCAACCGACTGTGCCACCCAGGCGCCCCTGTTTTTCCATTTCAATGTGTCTTCTTCAACTTCTTTCATAAGCTTTCTGGTTTGTTTGTTTTTTTGTTTTTTTTTTCAGTGTACAGATCTTTTACCTCTTTGGTTAGGTTTATTCCTAGGTATTTTATCGTTCTTGTTGCGTTTGTGAATGGGTTCAATTCCTTGATGTCTCTTTCTCTTGCTTCATTATTGGTATGTAGAATGCAACCAATTTCTGTACATTAATTTTGTATCCTGTGATTGTGCTGAATTCATGTATCAGCTCTAGCATTTTTTTGGTGGGGTCTTGTGGGTTTTGCTTATAGACTATCATGTCATCCACGAAGAGTGAACGTTTCACTTCTCTACCAATTTGAATCCCTTTTATTTCATTTTGTTGTCTGATTGCTGAGGCTAGCGATTCCAACACTATGTTAAACAACAGTGGTGAGAGTGGACATCCCTGGCGTATTCTTGATCTCCGGGGGAAAGCTCTCTGTTTTTCCCCATTGAGGATGATATTTACTGTGGGCATTTCATGTATGGCTTTTATGACGTTAGAGTATGTTCCTTCTATCCCAACTTCCTTGAAGGTTTTTATTAAGAAAATGCTTTTTCTGCATCTATTGACGGGATCATATGGTTCTTATCCTTCTTCTTTTAAGGTAATATATCAAGTTGATTGAATTGCAAAAATTGAACCAGCCCTGCAGCCTAGGATGAATCCCACTTGATCATGTTGAATGATTCTTTTAATATAGTGTTAAATTTGGTTTGCTAGTGTCTTGTTGAGAATTTTTGTACCCATGTTCATCAGTACCATGTTCAGTACCATGATCAGTACCATGTTCATCAGATATTGGCCTGTAATTCTCCTTTTTAGTGGGTTCTTGTCAGTTTTGGAAATCAGAGTAATGCTGGCTTCGTATAATGATCCTGAAAGCTTTTCTTTCATTTTATTTTTTGGAACAGCTTGAGAAGAATAGGTATTTAAGTGTCTGGTAGACTTCTCCTGGGAAGCCATCTGCCCTAGGACTCTTATTTGTTGGGCAATTTTTGATTACTGAGTCAATATCTTCTCTGCTTATGGTTTGTTCAAATTTTCTATTTCTTCCCTTTTGAGTTTTGGTAGTGTGTGTGTGTCTATTACTCTTATGTGTCTACCCTTTTAGGTTAAGGCCCATTTGTCCCTAGAGGTGTTCAGAATTCTCTTTTTGTCTTTGTATTTTGCCAGTTTCACTATGATATATCTTGGTGTTGACCTGTTTTTGTTGATTTTGAAGGGAGTTCTCTGTGCCTCTTGGACCTGGATGCCTATTTCCTTGTCCAGATTAGGGAAGTTCTTAGCTGTGATTTGTTCAAATAAAATTTCTGCCCTTTTTCTCTCATTTCTTCTTCTAGAACTCCTAATGATATAGATATTATTTCGTTTCATTGAATCACTTAGGTCTCTTATTGCCCTTTGTGGTCTAGTAATTTCCTTTCCATATCTCATTTGTAGCATTTCTTAAATCATTGTGTCTATTTCTTACGTCTTTAATCCCTGCAGCAATAGATTCTCTGCTGTTGTCTATGCTTTTTTCAAGCCCAGCTATTAGTTGTATGACTGGTATTCTAAATTCTTGTTCAGATATATTGTTTATATCTGGTTTGAGCAATTCTCTGGCTGTCTTCCTGGAATTTCTTTTCAGGAGAATTCTGTTTCATCACTTTTGCCAGGTTTGTGTCTCTTATGTGTTTTAATGGTTTGTTATCTGTCCTGCACCAACGAGAACTACTATATTAAAAAGGGGTCATACACTGGCCCAGGGCCTGGCCTTTCAGGAAGTGTTTTTAGAGTGTGTTGCATGCACTCTATTGTTGCGTCTTTGGCTGCTCTACCCCACTCGTCTGTCTTCTACAAAGCTTCTCCTTAGTCATACTGGTAGAACGTTTAGACCATTGTTAGACAAATCAAAGAAACTATAAGGGTTAATCCAGTGAGAGCAAAAGGAAAATAAAGATGGAGATATAGAAAAGGTGTAAAAAAAATAGAATAAAAATGCCTGATTAAACAGACACAGAAACAGAAAAAGCAAAAAAAAGAAAAAATACATATATATAATATATATATTTTTATAATATATGTAATTTGTATTTATTAATTTATTATTTATTATTATATTGTTAATTTATTATTATTATTAATTTATTAATATGTAACATAAATATATTTTTATATGTATAAAACACGTGTTATATATGTATATATATTGACAAAAAATCAAATCAGAAAGTTTAAGCCTGATTCCAGAGTAAAAAATGAAGAGGTAGAAAGAAAAATATAGAAAAGAGTAGAGAAGGAAAAAAAAAAAGAAAAGAAAATGGCAACACAGTAATATATAATACCACAGGATAGTTGTCTGTTTGTATGTGGGACAGGTGACTGTGCTGGTCTGGAGGAGAGGCCCTCTGGTTCACCCAGTATCAGTCCCACGCCATTAGATAAGTAGTTGCCATCCACTGAGGGGTGAGATTTTGTGTAAGTGGGTCGGCCTCCACAAGGGGCCACTATTCTGTTCCCTGAAGCCGCACCATGCTGGTGATGGGGAGAAAAATGGCAACACCCAAATCTCTCCTCCCCGGACTGGGTGTCTTAAACCATGCTGTTTAGGCAGCCCTCACAACGTAGCTCAGGCAGGTGTTTTGCCCTGTCCCACAGTTCCCCCATGCCTCTTAGGTGCTAGGCTGGGATTCAAAACCTGGTGTCTTAAAGGACCCAGCACCAGTTCTAGGATAGTGCTGCCCCACCCTGCCCATATGGCAGGCACATGCAGGGTCTTTTAACCTTGGGGAGGCAATATACACTCTTCCACAGTACTCAAGGGAGGGGACTATTCTCCCCACTGTGCCCCTGAGATGGGATACTACACTGGGGCTGGCTCCCCTCCCCACAAGTGCATGCACGTGGAAGCAGATTTCTTCCATAGGATGGCACACACTTTTGAAAACTGCAGTCTTCAGCTCCTAAGGCTGTTCGCAAAGTACGCTAGCAATCTCCCTAGATTTCTCATTTCTAGTCCGTGGTCTGGAAGGGTTTTCCTCTTGTCCTAACACAATACCACAATCCACAGTTTCTCTCTCTCCTTTTTGTCTCTCCACAGAGGGGGAACCCTTCCCTCCGGGCCCATAATGTTTTATCTCCCCCAATTCGCATAGACACACCTCTGTCCCGTCAAGCTGTCTCCCTCCACCTGTGCAGATTTTTTTTTATTTAAAAAAATTTTTTTTTTCAACGTTTATTTATTTTTGGGACAGAGAGAGACAGAGCATGAACAGGTGAGGGGCAGAGAGAGAGGGAGACACAGAATTGGAAACAGGCTCCAGGCTCTGAGCCATCAGCCCAGAGCCCGACGCGGGGCTCGAACTCACGGACCGTGAGATCGTGACCTGGCTGAAGTCGGATGCTTAACCGACTGCGCCACCCAGGCGCCCCGCCACCTGTGCAGATTTTTCTGTCACTCTGCAGATAGATTTCCTGGGTGTTCCAGGTGTTCTGACCTCAATACAGCTGTTTGAGGGAGGAGGGAAATCTTTGTCCCTCTACTTCTCCACCATCTTAACTCCTAATTGATACACTTTGAAACACCTAATAGGTGGATAACCAAAGTTGTTCTGAAATCAGACCACCAGGGTTCAAATCTCGCCTTGACAATTTTACAGCAATGTATTTAAGTTCTTTAAAACTTAATTCCTGCAAATCCAAACACTGAAGTTTGCCCAAGGTAGAATGATTGTTAAATGACACTCATATTTATGTATCATGATGAAATTCATCCAAGGATAAAGGGAAAAGAATCTAACTCTTCAAAAAGCAGTGGAGAAAAATACTAGAAGATAACTTAAAAGGAATAAGACTAAATGAACACTTGATCTCAATATTGAAAGCTTCAAAAATGTGGTGGAAAAAATCTGAAATTTATAACTTTTCTTGTCCTAAAAAACCTGATGCAATTAATGAAATAATGCTAATAAGAGGATAGAATTCACCCATGAAACAATTCATTTTCGATTTGATTTTTTATTAAGGCAAAACATTATTTATAATGGTTTTGTTTGTTTTGTTTTTCTTCCAAGGGAATCGTTGTGATTTTCCACAAATAAAACATGGTAGTCTATACTATGAAATTATCTATAGACGAGACTTTCCAGTACGTGTAGGAAAAAAATATTGGTATTCCTGTAAGACCAATTTTGTGACTGCTTCACAAGAGCCCTGGGAATATATTCATTGCACAAAAGAAGGATGGTCACCAGCAGTACCATGCCGCAGTAAGTCAACCGTTATAATTGTATATGTATAAATAGTTCACATCCTGGAGGGAGCAGACATGTAAGTGAGTACAATTAAGACTACTATGACAAAAAGGCGACCAAGGGATGAATTTTATGAGCAAAAATACCAAGATGAGGTTTTCCTTTTATGAGGAACTCTTCCTAAAATCTTATTAGAGATAAAGTTAGAGGTTTTTTGAAAATACCGATATCATTTACCCATACCTTAATTATAAATACTGAAAGTAAATAGTATTGACTATTGATTTTTTTCTTTTTCAACATTTGGTATTAGCTTTATTTTTGGATACTTATGCATTATAGTTTAAATGTTGTACAAATAATTTTTTTTTAACGTTTATTTATTTTTGAGACAGAGAGAGACAGAGCATGAACGGGGGAGGGGCAGAGAGAGAGGGAGACACAGAATTGGAAGCAGGCTCCAGGCTCTGAGCCATCAGCCCAGAGCCCGACGCGGGGCTCGAACTCACAGACCGCGAGATCGTGACCTGAGCTGAAGTCGGCCGCCCAACCAACTGAGCCACCCAGGCGCCCCTACAAATAATTTTTAATTTGCTATTTTCACTGAATTTATGGGTTTAAAAATTTTTTGTTTATTATTTTTATGATTTTTAGGACAATGTATTTTCGATCATTTGAAAAATGGAGATAACCCAAAACGAGGAGTAAAATACGTACAAGGTGAATCTGTAAGGGTTAACTGCCATGCTGGCTACAGTCTTCAAAATGAGCAGTCTGTGATGACCTGTACAGAAAGTGGCTGGTTCCCTCCTCCCGAGTGCATTCTTCTCAGTAAGTAAATGGTCTCAGATCTCAGTATATTTATGGTTTTCTAACCCTCATCTATATTAACTGTGAAAAAATATTTATATCAACTTCCTTATTTCCACCAATGAATCTACTTAGTTTTATTTTTTCCAAGAGTGTGTGAGTGGATATACACATTTTTGATACATATATATAGCAAAATAAATGTCTAATGATAGGCATTAGTCAAGAAAGCAGTAATGGAACTACAAAGAAGTAACCTGTATTAATAGGGTGACACCAGCAATGGAAGGAGGAAGATGTGATGGAGTAGGGGGATCCTAGGCTTGCCTCATCCCATAAGGATAACTATCAAATCATCCTAAATACCCCCGAGATTGACCTGAAGACTGGCAGAACAGATTCCACAATTAAAGGTACAGAACAGGCCACATTGAAGAAGTAAGATGTACAGAGATGCAGGTTTCTCTCCCAAACTGAGAAGAAATGGACTGTGGCCACTGAGGTGGTAAGGGAGTAGTGGTCACAGAGAGGGTGAAAGACAGACTGACACACAGAGGAACACACAGGAAAAACAAATCCCCATAGAAATTAGCTTGGAAAGGGAGAGGGGACAAATTTTGTGAGTTCCTGCAACCAGTGAGGCTTAAAGCCTGGGGTTTGAAAGGTCAGTGTGCTTGGGTCTGGAAGAGATCAAAGGGCATTGGGACTGCTCTTGGAGATAAGGCAAGCAAAGAGCCTGTGGACATACAGCATGGAAACAGCAATCTGATGAGCACTTGGAGCACACAGTGGGGAGGTTATTTGCTCATCCTGGAGCATGTTGCAGAAAGGGAGCATTCACAGAGACCCCTCTGAAAACAAAGGAACTGGCAGGTGCCATTTCCCTCTCCCGCCCTTCAACATTAACACAGGGTCAACTGTGGGAACCAGCACAGGGCTCACACTTGCTATCTTACTTGCTTACACCAAGCCCTATGTCCCTATGCTCTGGTGGAACCACCCTTCCCAGTCACACTTGCCTCAGTCCCAGAGCAGGCAGCCCCAACCACAAAAGACCAGATCAAATCCCAGCCCAAACTGCATCTCCCAACTTGGGAGGTTTTTTGTTTGTTTGTTTGTTTTGTTTGTTTGTTTTTGGCAGGGGGCAGGGAGGTGGGGCTGGATTCCAGCAGCAATGTTGAGAAGTCTCATTTCACAAGCAGACCAGAATACACCAAGTTAAAACTTACCACATTCAGGCAAGGAACCAAACACTGCCCACAACAGGCAAAGAGAGCCTCTGCAGATGAGTGACCGGAAAGATAAAGCAGTCAGGACACAACAGCAGTGTGCACATAGCATACATTGGAGACACTCCCTGAAGTGCCAGGCCCTGGGGAAACGGGGTCACAACACCCCAGGGCATGACAGAACCTCTTTTTCATAAGGCCATTACCCTCAGGAACAGGAGAAGTAGCTGACTTTTTTAACACAGAAAAGTAAGCCAAGAAACTTAGACAAAATGAGAAAACAGAAGAAATTGTCCCAAATGCAAGAACAGTGCAATGCCACAGCCATGGATCTAAGTGAAACAGATATTAGTAAAATACCTAATAGAGAATTTAATGTAACAAATCTAAAGATACTGGACTTAAGAAAAAAAATCCAAGACATGGGTGAAACCCTTAATACAGAGATAAGGAATAACACAGCAGAGATAAAGGGCTCAATAAACAAAATCAGAAACACACTTGGTGGCATGAACAGCAGGCTGGAAGAAGGAGAGGAACAACATAATGGCCTAGAAGACAAAGCAACAGAAAGTTATCAAGCTGAACAAAAGAGAGAAAAGAATTATGCGAAAAGAGAATAGATTTATGGAACTCCATGACTCCATCAAACATAACAACATTCATTGTAGAGGAGTCCCAGAAGAAAAAGAAAGAAAAAAAAGGGACAGAACATTTATTTGAAGAATTAATAGCAGAAAACTTCCCTAATCTGCGGGGGAGGAAACAGATATCCATATCCAGGAGGCACAGGGAACCCCCAAGAAAATAAACAAAAGCTAACCCACAGAAACATATATATTGTAATTAGATTGGCAAAACATAGGGGTATAGAAAAAAATTTTTAAAGCAGCAAGACAAAAAAAAAAAAAAAAAAAAAAAAAAAAAAAAAAAAAAGTGCCATACAAGGGAAAACCCATAAGGCTCCTAGGGCATTTTTCAGCAGAAGCTGAAATAATAAAGGGTACAGTCCAACAAAAAGATATAATGATTGTAAATGTTTATGCACCCAACATGTAAGCTCCCCTATACATAAAAGTTAATAACAAATAGAAAAGAACTAAACATTCATAATAAATGATAGTAGGGGATTTTCACACTTCAGTTACATAAATGGACAACATCATTTAAACAGATAATCAACAAGGAAACAACGGCTCTGAATGACACACTGGAACAGATGGATTTAACAGATATTTTGAGAACACTGCATCCTAAAACAGCAGAATACACATGCTTTTCAAGTGTATGTGGAACATTCTCCAGAATGGGACACATATTAGGACATAAAACAAGCCCCAACAAATTAAAAAAGGTCAAAGTGATACCATGCATCTTTTCTGAACACACTACCATGTAACTAGAAGTCAACCACCAGAAAAAGTCTGAAAAGAGCATAAATATATGAAAGTGAAGTAACATGCTAATAAACAATGAATGGGTCAACCAGAAAATAAAAGAAAATTCAAAAAACCACATGGAAACAAGTGAAAATGAAAACACCACAATTAAAAACCTTTGGGATGCAGCCAAACTGGTTCTAAGAGGGAAGTTTGTAGCAATACAAGTCTGCTTCAAGAAGCAAGAAAAGAATCAAATAAACAATTTCACTTGACACCTGAAGAAGCTAGAAAAGCAACCACAAACAAAAGCTAAGAAAAAAAAAACAGAAGGAAAGAAATAATAAGGATTAGAACAGAAATAAATGGGGGTGCCTGGGTGGCTCAGTCGGTTAAGCATCTGACTGTGAGTCAGGTCATGATCTCACGGTTTGTGAGTTCAAGCTCCATGTCAGGCTCTGTGCTGACAACTCAGAGCATGGAGCCTGCTTTGGATTCTGTGTCTCCCTCTCTCTCTGCCCCTCCCCTGCTCACACTCTGTCTCTCTCTCAAAAATGAATTAACTTTAAAATGTTTTAAATCAAAGAAAGAAATGTCATAGAAACTAGAAAAACAATAGAGCAGATCAAAGAAACCAGGAACTGGTTCTTTGAAAAAATTAATAAGTGATAAACTGCTAGCCATACTATCAAGAAGAAAAGGTAAAGGACCCAAATAAGTAAATCACAAGAGAGGAGAAATAACAACCAACACCACAGAAATTCAAACAATTATACAAGAATATCATGGAAAACTGTATGCCACAAAGTCGGTAATCTGGAAGAAATGGATAAATTCTTATAAACATAAACCTACCAAAACTGAAACGGGAACAAATAAAAAAATGAACAGACCAATTAACAGAAAAAAAA